TTTTTTTGAGGATGTATGCAGCGAGAGCGCGAGTTTAAACATGAGAGGTATTGAAACCGCCACTCCAAGATATCATTTTTGTTAGGATGTCTCAGGCGAGACGCTAGTTGTTGAACATCTGTCGAATTCGCGGGTTCCCATGTTTAAGGGATGTCTCAGGCGAAACGCTCATTGTTGATGAAATCGATGTTGTGAACATTTCATTTTTGTAAGGATGTCTCAGGCGAAATCGCCATTTTGGATCGTCTCGAGGGCGCTCCTGGGGGTCAAGTTTGGGCTTGTCTGGGGCCTTTGGGGGCCATCTTGATGCCTTACAAAACCGTTACAGTCCGATGTGACACACATTCATTTTTTCAGGATGTCCCTAACATAATACGCCCCAAGGAAGAAGGAGTATGCAAGAAAAACACAAGGAGCACGGCAGAATAAACCCCGAAAGCGAAGGAGCACGGCAGAATATGGCCCAAGAGCTAAGGAGCACGGCAGAAGACGACCAGGAGCACGGCATCATAAGCCCCAAGAACAAAGGATTGTGACAGAAACTGGCCAGGAGCATGGCAGAATAGGCTAGAAGAGCGAAGGAGCACGGCACAAAAAAACAAGGAGCATTTCAGAATAGACCCCAAGAACGAAAGAGCACGGCAGAATAGACGTCAAGAGCGAAGGAGCATTTTTTTCGCCGGCCATGCTCCGCCCGATTTTTTTGAGGATGTATGCAGCGAGAGCGCGATTTTAAACATGAGAGGTATTGAAACCGCCACTCCAAGATATCATTTTGTTAGGATGTCTCAGGCGAGACGCTAGTTTTTGAACATCTGTCGAATTCGCGGGTTCCCATGTTTAAGGGATGTCTCAGGCGAAACGCTCATTGTTGATGAAATCGATGTTGGATGTCTCAGGCGAAATCGCCATTTTGGATCGTCTCGAGGGCGCTCCTGGGGGTCAAGTTTGGGCTTGTCTGGGGCCTTTGGGGGCCTTCTTGATGCCTTACAAAACCGTTACAGTCCGATGTGACACACATTCATTTTTTCAGGATGTCCCTATCGAAATCGTCATTTTTAGATGACTGGCTTAAACCATCTAGAAGCCTTTTCAGGAGCGATCCCCAGACGATGTTGAAACAGCAATGTTCAAAACGATGTTGTTGGATTTGTTATTTTTTTGAAGATGTCCCTAGCGAAATCACTATTTTCAGCAACCTGAAGGGCGCTCTTGGGGCCATGTTGTGGCCTTATTTTGCTTCCTGATGCCCTCCGAAAATCATTACGATGCGATGTCGCACGCATCAATTTTTTGAGGATGTCCCTACCGAAATCGACATTTTTTGAAGGCTGCCTTGGGCCGTCTGGAAGCCTTTTCAGAAGCAAAGTCAAAACTATGTAAGAACAACTGTTTTCAAGTCGATGCTGGTGTATGTTTTCACTTTATGAGGATGTCCCTGGCGAAATCGCTATTTTCGGAAGTCCCCCCATCGTTCTGACAGCCATCTTGACGTGCTTTTTGGCCTCGCATTGCGTCATCTAGAGGTACTTCGAGAACGATATCAAGACGACGTTGAGGACATCTCATTTTGTTGAGGATGTCCTTAGCGAAATGCAAATGTTCTGCCGTGCTCTTCATTCTGATCCGCCGTGCTGCCGCTCGTTTTCTGAGGATGTCCCTAGCGAAATCGCAATTCTTAACAGAAGAGTTAGTTAAAGACTTCAGTCGTCATCTCATTTGTTCGAGGATGTCCCGAGCGAAACGCAAATTTTCACAAACGGCGAAATTTCGCTGTCATCAACTTTTCGAGGATGCCTCGAGCGAAACACTTGTTTCTGTTAAACGCGATGTCGCGAAGATCTCATTTTTGTGAGGATGTCTCACGTAAAATCGCCATCCCGAGGAATCCGCTAAGCCTGTTCCCCGTGCACCCCGCCACCCCCTATAATTAAGAGATCTCTTACTGATATGAGGAGGATTCAGCCAAAACGTCCAGCTCGCTTCTCGTTCCTCGAAGACGCTTCCCGTCATCCGCCGGCCCCCTTGTGGGGCCACCAAGCTGTAGGCTGAGGGTTTGCTGTTCCCTGCGCCAGTTCCGGTTACGAATTCCACTGATACAGTATTGCTTTATGCTGCTTACTGTTCCTTACCGCGCGAGGGAGGGGGGGGAGCCGAAAACCAGCAAACCTAGCCTCTCCTGGGGGGTTCTCAAAATTTCTGGGGGGGTCGAGATTGACACCCCTCACGCAGCTCGGCGGGGTCAGGGTCGAAAATCAATGTGGTTTGTCACAGTTCTGAAATTCGGCGGCACCCCTGACGCAGATCGGCGGGGTCAGGGTCGGAAAACCAATGGGATGTGCTACATTTTTGAAATTCGGCGGCACCCCTGACGCAGATGGGCAGGGTCAGGGGTGAAAAACCAACAGGGTTTGCCATATTTCTAAAATTCGGTACCACCCCTCACGCAGATCGGCGGGGTCAGAGTCGAAAAACCGATGGGATTTGCTACATTTCTGAAATTCGGTGGCACCCCTCACGCACATTGCCGGGGTCAGGGTCGAAAAACCAATGGGATTTGCCACATTTCTGAAATTCGGCACCATCCTCATGCAGATCGACGGGGTCAGAGTCGAAAAACCGATGGGATTTGCCACACAGTGGCACCCCTCAAGCAGATCGCTGGGGTCAGAGTCGAAAAACTAACGGGATTTGCCACATTTCGCAAAATTCGGTACCACCCCTTACGCAGATCGAAGGGGTCAGGGTCGAAAAACCTATGGGATTTGCCACACTTCTGAAATTCGGTGGCACCCCTCACGCAGATCGCCGGGGTCAGGGTCGAAGAACCAATGGGATTTGCAATATTTTTGAAATTCGGCGGCACCCCTTCTGCAGATCGCCAGGGTCAGGGTCGAAAAACCAATGGGATTTGCTCCATGTCTAAAAATTCGGTGGCCCCCCTCATGCAGATCGGCGGGGTCAGGGTCCAAAAATATAAGGGATTTGCAACATTTCTGAAATTCGATGGCGTTCCTCATGCAGATCGGCGAGGTCAGGGTCGAAAAACCGATGGGCTTTGCCACATTTCTGGAATTCGGTGGCACTCCTCATGCAGATCGGCGGAGTCAGGATCGAAAAACCAATGGGATTTGCCACATGTCTTGGAATTCGGTAGCACGTCTCACGCAGATCGGCGGGGTCAGAGTCGAAAAACACATGGGATTTGCAACATTTTAATACTTCGTAAAACAGCTCTTTGCACAGCATACGCGAGCAAACTCGAAATACAACACCGAATTCAACAATATCATCATAATCTCGATTTGTCTTGCCGGTTGCTCATCGTCTTCGCGTGAAGTCCCGACGCTGTTTCACGGCGGCGCCAAGGTCTCATGATTTCGCTCTTGCATTGCCCACTATCCGAGGAGAGGGGGCTGGCGGCAGGGGGCGAAGCCCTTACGGATACTCAACAATTGCGCTCCCACCCTGCGGTGTGGGCCGTGCGAGACCTCTCTGACACAGTGTTTGGCACAGTCTTTGGCCCTATGCGCCAGTGCCTGGCAAAAAACCTCCCTGACAGTCACTCCGAGGGGGCCCCATTCTGCCGCCGCCCCCACCCCCGACCTCAAGGGCTCAAACGGCCCAGGACGACCTAAGGGAACCCCAAGCGGGTTTAAGAGAGTTCAGAGTGTGATCGGACTTGTTTTCACTGCCGCGAGCGGAACGTGGCCACGGCCTGCAGTCCTGCGTATGTAGCTCCCAGCGGGAGCGGAATAATGATTCGGGCCTCGAGCCCGGCAATCTCAGATCGCTGATCTGTCTGCTGTGTGCTGTGCTTGCCTGTGGATCTGCATCTGTTGAGTTATCTGTCTGATGTCGCCGGCTGGCGGCTCTACACGAGGGGCCCCTCAAGCTGGTTTGAGCGAAACGGCCACGCAACGGCACAAAACTGAGAGTGGCAACTATGCAAGCTGAAACTGCAAAACAGTAGCGCCGATCGCAATAATAGAAGCTGAAACGCACTCGGGGCCTCTCGAGGCTAAAGGGTGTCTAGTGGGAGTTTGCAGACAAGGCTGGCATGCTAAAACAGTTACTGTTTCAGACTGGTCTCTCTCTTCTGTTGGCTGAAAACTCCGAGAGACGTCTGACGGCAGAAATGGAAATCACGCAAAAACTGAAGCTGACTCGGCAATGGCTCCGAACAGTTCGATGGCAGGCTCGCGAAGCCACTGAATTAAACTGTCACGCAACTGATCGGACACTTTCGTGAGAGGGTCGGCTATCATATTAGAAGTTGGGACCCACCTCGTCGAACCTAGACCGAGACTGGTCTGGATAGAAAGCACATCGAGAAGCGCCCGTTTTTCATCCAAGCTGGGGTTCTCTTTAGTAACACAGTCGTACAAACTCTTACAAACCGTGATAGCATAAAGCGGCACACTAGGCGGCGTGCGATCAGCCATGCGGTTGGCTATATATGACCGGCCTGTCAAGACCTCGGACAAAAACACAGAAGCATAAAATCCTCGATCAACGGCTGCGTCGGCGGCACAAGCCTTCGCTGACAAAGCGGACCTCACCTGACGTTGCGTCCTCACGCTCCTCCAATCGGCCAACGAGGCAGGTGCTGACCCGGAGAATGCGTCTCGATTGGCCCAAACGATCATCGCTCCGGTCTGGCTCTTCATCTGCTGCGCGTTGGCCCATCTCGAGTCACCGTATGCAACCGTAATCACGTCGCTATCTCCGGAATCGTTGATCAACCGTAACGGCACCATCGTAATCCCAACCGCTGGCGTATTCTTCAGGTGCTCTATGGTTTTGAACATCGCCTTAAGGTCGGAGATCTGGGGGCCCTCGCTCTGCAACAACGATACATATGACGAAACATCCGGACGGCATATACCCGAAAACCACTGACCGCTTCCGATACAGCTCCGCATCTCGGTCCGTTCTGCGATTGCAAGGGACCCTCCCTCTCGGATGCGGCTGGATGGGATGCGGCGAACCGCTAATTCCTTGACGTACTCCTGCTGAGTGATGACGACTCGGCCGTCGTGGTACTGGTTGATCTCACGCCCACACCACACGAGCTCCTGAGGCAGATACACGAGCTTACCCCACACGAAAACCTTCTCCAGCTGGGAGAAATCGAAACCGCTCTTGGCGCATACGGCGAACATGTCGTCGACGTACCACAAAACGATGGCCAATAAACGTCCCTTATCGAACTTCAGAAAACACGCCACGCCCAGGCTATGGCTCACGAAACCCAAATCGTACATCTTGCGTCGAATGTGACGACACAACACCAGCGGGGCGTCGGCGAAACCGTAGATGTTGCCGGTCACCTCGTACAACGTATCTGGCCAGGAGCCAGTGGCGATGACCAGTGGGTCGCGCGGCGGAATGAGGTAGACCTTGTCCTCCCTCTCGCGGCTGCCCTGGAAGAAGCTGTTCTCGAGGTCGCCAACGCAGGCGGTCCAGTTGCCCTCTGGGTCGTAGATCTTCATGCCGGCGAGGATCTGGCAGGCTGTGAAGAAACTGATGCGCTGCGTAGTCGGAGACCTCCGCTCGAGCGCCTCGAGCCTCGGGTCGCTGCAACCGACGGCGACCCCCCGGCATTTCGCAGCAAGCTCTCCTTGGCCGCAGTTCTTGTCACGATAGCAGCATCGCGCCCAGATGCAGCAGCTCTTGCGGATCTCGGGCGAGTTGAGCATGTCCTTGGCGACGTCTTCTGGCACTGCGACCATCGGCGCCCACTTGACCCTGTTGCTGTACTCCTTGCGCGTGGCCTGCAGGAAGCTCTGGATGGTGGAGCCGTCCATATTCATGACCTCGCGCCATGGTATCTCGCGGTCGCAGGCCTTCCGCTCGGCCCTCGTCATGGTGGGCCGGTTCTGGTCGGCAGGCTCGTCGTCCTCGGAGTCGGGCACCAGGAGGAGCTTGGGCCCGTCGTCGGCGACGATGGCATTCACCTGGTAGATGATCTCGATCTCGTCCGCGTAGTCGGCGTAGCGGCTGACGCTGGCGAACGCGGCGGGTATCTCATCGGAGCCGTCGGCGTTGCCCCCGACCTCGGTGGCCCAGAAGGAAGTCAGCCAAGCCTGGGCGCACAAGGTAGACACGCGGGGCCTCTTCTCGTCTGGAGGGTCGGCCTCTGGAGGGACTTCGTGTTCGGCGGCTCGGCTGCGAGGCGACCTGGGGGCGCTGGCCTTCGGATCGGTCTCGATCGTGTTCGGCTCTGCGGAGGCGGAGTCAGTGGCCAGGGTGACCTCCGCGTCCATGGGGGTCGTGCGTGGAACCCCGGTCTCGACCCGCGTCGGCTCGGACGGAATCGCCTCTGGCTGAGGCGGGGCCGCCTGGCGGCGGTTCGACTGGGACAGGCTGAGCTCCAGGAAGGTCGGCATCGGCAGGCTGTGGAGGCAGAAGTCTTTCGTGGCCTGGGAGAAGGTTGCGGCCGTCGTCAACGAGGATGTCGGCCTCCTCCGCCAGGTCGTTGGGCGCGGGCCCGGCGTCTCGCTCGTCCTCCCAGAGGTCGTCCATCATGAGGTCGTAGCTGCTATTGAGAACCTCGATGTCCTTGGCATCGGGTACCCACTGCTCGAAACCAATGGCTGGTCGAAGCTGTTCGCGGCTGAAGAGCTTGATGGTCTGACCGACTCTGACCCAAGCGTTGCGGCCGAGTCCGCGTCCTTGTTGTCCGCCGTCCCACTGTAGGAAGGTGCCAATGACGAAACCTGGGCGCGACGACTTGCCGCTGGGGCGCTTCTTGGCGTCCCGGCGCCAGCATCCAACCTGCTGGCCTGCGACGAGCTTGTCAAGGTCGTAGCGCAAGTAGCTGGTCTTCCTGAGGAGCGACTTCCTCACGCGCTGCTCGTAGTTGAAGTGGGCCGTGTGGATGTTGGCCTCCATGCGGTAGAAGTCGCTGTTCATCACGTGCTGCGAGTTAGTGGCGTTGGCGGCGACGGCAAGGCCGTGATCGTCGGATAGCAACTCACCAGGAATACGAGGAGTCCTTCCCAGGGCGCACTGGTTAGCGGAGCGCCCGGCCCGACGAACTGCATTATTCTTGGCCTCGCTGACGGCAATGGTGGTCATGTCGACAACCTCGGCGGTCTTCGCGGCGCAGGCGTCGCATGTCCGATTCCAGATCCACCTCCATGACGCGTTATGCCTCTCGACGGTCCCGATCTGCCAATGTGCGTCGGGCGGGCAGTAGGAAACGTTGACCCCGTACGACTCGAGCCGATCTTTGAAGTCGCCCATGAAGCTGCCCTCCATGTCGACGGTGATGGCCATCGGCATGCCGAACGGTAAAGCCCATGCCTCCAGGAAGGCGGACACGGCTGTCTCTGGGAAGCGGTCGACCACGCGCTTCCCGCGGTGGAGGTGTTTGTTGAGGCATATGATACCGAGCATGTGGTGCGGCGTGTTGGTGACGTCCACGATAGTAAAGAAGTCGGCCTGGAGGTGTTCGCCGAACTGACCCAGGTACCTAATCGTCGCGGAGATCGGCTTTGGCCTAGCTGGCGGGTGAGTCCGCTCGCAGGCCTCGCACTTCAAGAAGTCGAGCGCCAAGTAGACTGATGGCTTGGCCCCCTGCCAGGCGCCAGAAACGTCGGAGATCTTCGCGACCAGCGTGTCCATGATGACAGTGGAGGCGGGCGACCATCGCCTTGATCTCGCGGGGGCACTTGTCGTCGCTGAGGTTCGGGAACTTGACGCGGCACCCTGCGATAGAGGAGAGGTCGGGATCGGCAGCCTGAACTGGCGGCGCCGGCGGACGCGCGCCCGGCTCTTCCACTGGAGGCTCCGCGGCGCTCTCAGGGTGAACTTGGGCAGCAGCAGGTCCTGGCTGCGGTGCCTCGGAAGGCAGCTCGCCGTCGGCGCTGGCCGACCCAGGCGCGTTCCCGAAGAAGAAGATGGCGAGGGCGATCGGCTCGCTGAAGCGGAGCTTCGGGTACTGGACGTCCTTCAAAGCTTCAGTCTCGACGATGATGTTACCTGCGTGGGCGATGGCGGCCATGCCGCGGTGGCGGTAGACGATGTCCACTGCATGCCTACGCGCTTTCGGTACTCGAGCGGCTTGCACTCGAACGAGCTCCCATGGCACGAGGTCCTGGATGCGCTGGTAGATCTCGCGGCCTGGCGGCAGCTCCCAGGTGTCCCGGGTCCGATCCTCCATCATGAGCATCGTCTGGGTGAGAACAACTTGCCACTCGTCGGTGTCGCGGTCGACGTCGACGAACCAGGCGGTGTAGAGCTGGTCGTGGTAGTCCGCGGGGGTGCTGTCCTGAGGGTGCCATTCGTATCGGCACTGGTCGTAGCTGGATGTCTAGGCCAGCGAAGCAGGCGATCGGACTGCAACCATCTGCTGCACGACGGTCAGGATGCTGTCTGCGAGCTCCTCGGTGAATACCTGAGAGCGGGAAGTATCGCGCCCTTGAACTTCAGCGTGACCGTGGCTGCGATCGCACCTGCGGGTCACCGACCCCAGCAACTTGGGGTGGTTGCTTACCCACGTCCGCGTCTTACGCATCAGCTCACCGTTGAGGGCCCTGAGGTTGTAGGGGCAGCTGTCGCCGCGTCCCCAGACGGTGTGGTGGTCCTTCCAGAGCGGGTCGAACTCGGGCTGCTCCCACGCCTGGCTGCTATCGGCGTTCTCGAGGAGGAAGTACATGCCGTTCTTCTGTTGCTCGAGAGCGGTCCATGCGACGAGCTTGAGCAGCGGCCGATCCTCGTCCTGGAGGGAAGCGAGGAGGTCGGGGAAGTCACGGTAGCTAATCGCGTAGTTGTACCAGCACCACTTCGTACAGGGGAAACCCATGATAACCACCAGCGGCTTGAACGTCTTGATGGCGTGGTTCCATCTCCGTCGACCAGCGACCGTGCCCAGGTCGAAGCCGTAGATGAGGTCGACGGGCTGCAGAGCGGTGAGGCCGAAGAGGTGCGCGCTTGGCGATGTTCCCCTGTCCGGCGAAGCCCTCGAGGATGTGCGCGTGGTGCGGCGCCTTGGCTTTGACCTGCCGGGCGGTGCTGTCAACGACGTCCCGAACCTTAGCCTCGACCTCGAGCGCCGAGATGGTGCGGTTGAGGTCACCGATGCGACGCTTCAGAGCTCCTCGAAGCCCTCGTTGGATATCTCCCCGTCCGAGTCGTCTTCCTCCATGATGGCGTCGGTCTCCCTGGGGCGGCGGCGCCTGGCTGGCGCCTGCTTGGGCATCGCCTTGCAGCGGGGCGCAGTGATGGACTGTGCTGGGACTGAGGGTCTCGAAGATGATGCGCTCGGCGCTGCTGGCGACGCGGTGCTCCTCTGCTCCTCGCTGCTATGGCTGCCGGTGACAGCGGCGGCGGCCGCGAGGGGGATGCCCGCGATGACTTGGAAAGGTCGTCGGGATACTCGATCCACTGGGTGTTGGTGACGATCCACTTCCACCTCATCTAGCACGCCGGCTGCTGGCACCTGGCGCGCCACCCGTGGCGACCCGCGCAGTACTCCTTGATGGTCGAGACCCCCGTGTTCGAGCCCCTGTGGTCGCGCGGCTCGCGTCTCTTGGGCGCCTTCATGTCCAGGTAGGCTTCGTGCGCCTTCAGACCCTCGGTGCATCCCTTGACGAAGGCAGCCAGGAGCGGCGTCGCCTTCAAGAACGCGTTCCGAAAGCCCGGGCCCGTCATCAACGAAGCTCGGAAGGCCTGACCTGCACTCAGGGCCGTGTAGATGACCGCCCACAAGCGCATGAGAAGTCGGCCCCATCTCTCGCGGATCTGTGGCCGCATCCGCTGCGGCGGACTGGCTGGATATGGAAGGAGCCGAAGGCTCGGATATGGAAAGCTGGCAGCTGCTGGAACTCGGCTGCTTGACCGAGGATGGCTGGAGAGTCGACTCGGATCGCTCGATCTCGATGGCGCCCCCGGGGGTCTCGTAATCGGTTAGGCCGTCGTCGGCAATGTCGAAGTGCACGCGTCGCTGGCGTCGTCGTACGTCCATCTTGGTAGACTCGCTCGCCGAGGTCCCCTGGTTCAGTTGTGCTCGCTCGAGGTGTCGCTCTCGACGTTGTTCGCATTTGATCTTCGCATCGGGGGGTAGGGTGGCGCCCTCATCCAAGGTGTCCCAATCCGAGAAGTCGGGTAACTCGTGCGGGAAATCGGAGATGCACACGATGAGCTGGCAGTTCCTGGCCCTCTGAAGCGGGAGGTCGTGAACCCCGACCCCCAAGAAGCTGATTGTCCCCACGAACATGTTGATGGAGGCCCCCAAGAAGACCATGAACTCGTTTGAGGCCAGTATGGGGAATCGCGGACGACACCTCGGGAGACCTAGCCCAGAGCGCCACGCCTGCGATGCCTATCGGGCAACCCCATCGGAGGACAGAGTGGATCTCGGGGCCCTCACCGAACTTGAACCTCTCCTGGACGGCCCGCTCGACGAGGGGCAGGGATCTGTCTTCGAGCCTCTCGGCGCGAGTGCCCCCCGAAGCGGATCCATGGACCATCCTCTGGCACGCGGTATCGGCAATCATCCAACTCTCACCGTCAAACTCGTCGATATACTCGATTGAATCTCCGACTGCCAGGCCCTTGAAGACTGACTGAGGCATCATCCAAGCATACATGGTAGAGGACGAAGTAACGTGAGCGGAGCTGGCAGGGGCGGGAGCGGAGGAAGAAGATACCATAGACGTATGAAACGGTTTTCTCTGCCCTCCATGCTTTGCTGGAGGTCCAACGCGAGAGCGGGAAGGCTCCGGTCCGAGCTTGGCGCCTGGCTTCTTGCAGGCGGCGTCCCCAGCCCAGCGGCCGAGCTCTCCGCAATTCAGGCACGCCTCCGTCTTCTTTCTCTGTTCGATCTGGTCGGCGCCCTGGCGAGGTGCGGATGGGCGAGAGCCTCCTCTCCCCTTGGCGCGAGAAAAACCTCTGGCTTGAGTGGCCCCCTTCAGCTTCTGAGACGTGATGCCGAGAACGTCGTTCAAGGCTGTCATAGCCTCGTACACTTCATCGAACTCGGCGGGTTCCTGGTCGGCGGCCTCCTCCGTATTGGGCTCGTCGTCATCTGGCTGGCCGTCGACCTCGTCCTCGTGCTCGGCAGCCTCCTCGCCGAGCTGGTCCTCCTCGATCGCGGCGTCGGTGGCGTTCACCGCGTGGCGAGGCGGGGGCGGCCGCGGAGCCGACGGCCTGCCCAGCAGGGCGGGGCGGCTGGGCGGCGCAGGTGGTTGCTGCCGCCGAGGGCCGCCGCCAGGCCCCTGCCCGTGGCCTCGCTCGCGGTTGTCGCCCGGCGCCCTCTCGCGGCGCGGCCAGACCACTGGCGGCGCCGCCGCCCTCTCAGGGTACAGGCGCCCGCTGGCGTTCATGATCCCGTCGAACTCGTAACTGTGAGAAATTGAAAGAATACCTCGAACATGTTCTTCGCCGAGAAGCGCCGTGCTCAGCAAGCGGTGTCCGCGAGACTGGGCGTCTAGAGACTCGGCGATATTGATCTTGATCTGCTCGAGCGCACGCTCAACTCTGACGTGCCTGGTGCAGTGCGCGTGGAGCTTCTCACCATGACTCCTCTTGATCCTCTCGCGCGCTGCCAGCAGGTCACCTGTGTGGAAAATCTTCTCCTCGCCGAAGGGCGAGCGCATAACTTCAACCAAACGTTCGATGCCGCCCTGGGTGGCCCATGTCATCGGCGGGTCGGAGATGATCTCCTTCAGCGCCTCCCCTGCGACGGCACCTCTGAGCTGCAACGCCGCTTCAGCGAGCGGCAGGTAGTGCTTGACTCGGAACTTCCAGGCGGCCACCGCATCGCGCCAGTGCTCCCAACAGCGCGGGTCCGCTCGGCGATCCCCCGAGAAGGTCGGGGCCGCTGGCGGCGCACCTCCGCGCCATCGGACTCCAGGGGCGGGGCCGCGGGGGTAGAGCGGGTCATCGTCGGCGTCGTCCGAGGTGCTGCTGCCGCCTCGGCCGCGCCGACCACGGCGCCTCCTCAAGGCACCGTTGCTCTCCCCGCTGTCTCCGCGTTCCGAGGGCGGGTGCGACATCGCGGCGAGAACTCAACTTCACGACGTGCGCTACCAATGTGATCGGACTTGTTTTCACTGCCGCGAGCGGAGCGTGGCCACGGCCTGCAGTCCTGCGCATGTAGCTCCCAACGGGAGCGGAATAATGATTCGGGCCTCGAGCCCGGCAATCTCAGATCGCTGATCTGTCTGCTGTGTGCTGTGCTTGCCTGTGGATCTGTATCTGTTGAGTTATCTGTCTGATGTCGCCGGCCGGCGGCTCTACAAGAGGGGCCCCTCAAGCTGGTTTGAGCGAAACGGCCACGCAATGGCACAAAACTGAGAGGGGCAACTACGCAAGCTGAAACTGCAAAACATTAACGCTGATCGCAATAATAGAAGCTGAAGCGCACTCGGGGCCTCTCGAGGCTAAAGGGTGTCTAGTGGGAGTTTGCAGACAAGGCTGGCATGCTAAAACCGTTACTGTTTCAGACAGAGCAGTCCACGAGATCCTCCCGACGGTTCCAGATCGCTCCAAGAAGCCCAAGATGGCCTCCAGAAGGCCCAAGACGCCTCCAGGACGGCCCAAGAAGTCGAAAACAGGCTGGTAAGCTTAGGTATGTGTTACGCCTTAGGCGTTGCCATATCCCAGGCTTTGGCTCATATCGCATGAGCAAGAGAGCGAGACGAAGCATGGGATCTGGAGTATAGAGTAAGATGGGCATCGTCAATGGAAAGGATGTTTTCCGATCTCAGATGCAAGTAGTGCGCCTCGGTGAGGCACAGTCACATATCAGGCCGGGCCCGGCTTGAGCCAGGCACGGCAGCGGTACATGCTCGATTTATACCTCGCCTTTAACCTTCTCCGTTTAAAGTCGGAGGGGGAGGAGACGAGCAGGTACCGCACTTCTATTATGCGGAAAAACAGTGCTAAGCAGCAGCGGCTGCCTACAAGGAAAGGGCGCGCGAGTAGCCTCGCTACCGGCGAGTTTCCTCGCTGCTAAAGCGCACCTGCCCGCGGGTTTCCCCGCTGGCTCGGGAGGCAGGGCCGTCCTGAGACGACCTGCCCGCCCTATACGGCGTATGTTTCTTCAGCTCGTGCTTGAAGGATTGCTGGCCGGCCATTACTTGTAGGAGCAACGCGCGGTCAATGCTACCTTTGGTATGACCATCGGCAGTCATATCCCGCGTGTCACACCATTGGACGCTTTCCACGATTCCACGTTCCATCATCTGGCGAATCCAGCTGATGTGCCCAAGCAGAGTACACTCTGTGGGCTTCTTCAGATCCTTGCTAGACAAAGATTTGAAGACAGACTCGGCATCAATAGTCAGAGTGACTTTGATACATAGACCACCCATTTCCAATATGTTCTTCAACTGTGTGGGGGTCAATGGTCCCGAGTGTAGCTCGTGGAGCGTTACAATGGTCGGGTAGCAGTCTTCCAAGTTGTGGGCTGCTGCCAGTGTTTCCGCAGAGTAGCTCGAACGCACCTGCAGTCGATGAGACTTGCAGTATGCGTCCACCAGGTGCACGACGGGTTTCCCCGCTTGCGTGTGGCCACGCCTCAGCAGGTTAGCCCCGCGGATACCGTAGCCTTTGACTTCGTCGTCTTCATCTCCGTTGAGACGACGATAGCCAGAATCGCTATGCAGGTCGACTTCTCCTGTTGGAGTCATAGCATGATACACGATCTTCTTCGGACCTGCCTGCAATTTTCTGGTAACCGCGTTTAGTCGTCGTACCTGGATGTTTGTCGGTTCTTGGATACGTTGTAGTGAGACAACATAGACCATTAGCCATACCTGCGTGATCAACGCATAGGCTAGAGCGCCACGAAGACTGACGAACATATCAGAAATTGTCTTCGTCGCCTTGCTTTCAGGATCAGCTCCTGTGAGTTCTGGATGTGTGATAGGACGAAGCTGTTTGATGTATTCGTCCTGGTCGAGAGTGACGCTCCCATCATCGGTCTTGTTGTACCGAACAGCACAGTTCGTGTATGTGTGCTTGTTCAGTTTGCACTTCCCAAACGTATCTTCAACACACTTGACATACTTGTCGATAGCCTCTTCCTTCCCAGTCATATTGATGTCATCAACGTGCTTGGCTGTCAAGAGGTTTGGGCTCATCTCGAACTCTTCGTCGTATGAAGTAGGTTGTAGCCCAAAGCTCCTAGTGATGGACCTGAGTTTCAGCGAGAATGCCCTGGGAGCATCCTTCGTGCCCGTCCCCGGTTTCAGACACCGGAGACAATGCTTTGATTCGTCATATGACTCAAAGCCTGGCAGTGTGCGAAGGACAGCTGCTGACCCAGGTGGTAGTGTGAAACACACCACACGTTCTTTCTCGCCCGTTGCCGCGGCGAGCTCGCCATAGGTCAGTCCCTTCAAGAAAGCCATGTTGATGTCCAGGGAAGCGATGATCCAAGCTTTGTTGCATGCAGCAGAACTTGCGAGCAGTCTCTGGCTTGACCTCCTTGCCGTGCCAGAGAAGGTTTCGACATCAAAGGCTTCGAGGTCCATGAAGCCACGGAGTACCAAGCGTAACCGGATCGTCCTTTCCATTTCGCCCTTTTCGTTCTTGACAAACTTCCATTTGTATACGTAGCGTGACGTCATGATGTTAGACGCCTTGCTTAAGTCAGTCATCTGGAAGCATTTGTTGTCAAGCCAAGTCTTCAGTTCTGTGTAGAGGGCTTTGGAAACTTTGACCGGATTTGCTTGGATGTCGGCCTTCGTGAGTAGATCGTCTTCCTTGACGACCACGGCACGTTTGGAGGCAGCGCTAACGTATACTCGCATAGTTGTGACGCTGCTGTCATCCAACAGTCGGTGTTGCTGCTCGGACAGGACGACTTTGGACATGTCTGCAGTGAAGCAGAGCTCGATATACTTCCCGTGCTCATCGGAGTCCAGATCATATTTGCTATCCGGTTCCGTGGAGCATAAAGGAACGTAGTAAGAAGTGTCCATGTCGTATCCTGGCGGGTGACCCCGCTCCGGCAAGTGGCCTTGCACATCTTCACAGGTCGTAGAGACTAACACACACTGTGTGTCTGTCATGTATGTAGGAACTGTATGCATGACTTCCTCTGTGTCAGCTTCAAGGAGTGTTCTGTCATCCATCAGTTCAGCATACCACGACTTCAAGACAAAAGCATCCAGATCTTCTTCTGTCTCCTCTATGATGGTCGGGAGTCGACCATCGTTGTCCGTAGGAGGCTCCTCAGGAGCAGCTGCTGGAGGTGATTCGCTCGGTGGTGGACCGTCAGCGAGTTCCTCAAACTTAGTGAGGTCTTGGTCAAACCCAGCAGAAGGCTTCCTGGATTTAAGACACTGGATGATGCGTGAGTGTGTGGATCCTGTGATGTCATAGATGTTCAAGGCAGTGCCATCAGCTTCATAGTAATGAAACCCAGGGGTCACATCGTTATCATAGTGCACTAGTGTACAGCTGTCTGCATAGGGTGCGGCAGGCAGCTTCGTCAGGCTCTTGGCAAGTCGTACAGCAACAACGTTTTCAATACGAAAGTAGTTGCGTATGAGGTACTGAAGAGCCAAGTGCACCTTAGGTGAAAGTCGGCTCGCAGCAGTCATCTGCAGCCGACCCTGTTTCGTTGGTAGATATCCGAAAGTCATGGCGGGTTTCCCCGCTGGCAGACCGGCAATAAAGGCCAATACTGTTCGAAGGGCCGTATTGTCCGATCCTATCTCGCGGACCATAAGTGCTTCGATGTACAGTGTGTGTCGTGTGTCAGGATACTGTACTCGTACTTCGCGATTGCCGACCTTCACGATGACCTGGCCTCGGTCAGGTTCGTTGCGGATGACCGGGTATGGACCACTCCATCCACCCCAGTCGTCTTTCGTGGTGGTCGGGCGATGATAGTCCACGAGATCTCCCTCTTTGTAGTGAAATTCACCCGTAGCAGTAGTCTTTGTACGGAGAGCCCTGTTCGTCTTGGCAACCGCAGTGGCCTGCGTGATTGCCTCCAGACTAACCCTCCTGATTGTTTCCTCCCTTGAGTGATCTGATGATTCAGTGGGCTGATCATGATCCAAGACAGGGAAATCAGGAAGCATAGCTGGCTGTCTACCATACAGCGCATTGTACGGAGACACTTCATTGTAGAAGGTAAATGCGTTGCTGGCAAACAAGGCTTCATGTAAGAGACGAGTGAAATTGAGAGGGATATTTAATCTATTCAATTCTTCTCCCATCACGTGTAGGAGGTGTCGCAGGATGCCGTTCCTAGCTTCGATAGTTGTAGCGTGTTGGCCACGCGCTCGAATACGAAGCTCTGTTCCCTTAGCCTTAAGGATGGCCTTTGCTGTATCATTATTCAGTGCTCCTTCCCCATCGGAGTATAAGATTTTAGCAGGGCCATGCTGCATCCAAGTCGTATGATAGGCATCGAGAACAGTATGCATAGCTTTATCAGGAATCTCTGTGCCAGCTGCCCAGCGAATACAACGGTCGATGATGTGAAAAACAATATGTTCCTGTTTATAAAAGAAGAGATCACATTCGACTTCCTCGTTGAAACGTCCTGGCAGTGACACAGAAGGCATCACCGTGTTGCCTGGTTTGTCCCAGGCTCGACATTCCCTACACGAGTCACAAATGCCTTTGATCAGACTCAAACGGGTTTCACCCAGACCAACCTTGGTTAGAATCATCCGCATTTTTGGCTCCTTAGCATGAAACCATCTCAGGTGGAGTTTGCGGAGTTCTCGCTGCACTACAGCTGGGTCGAAGCTGCGCAGGTTTTGGAGGCTGAGCTGAACGTCGAAGCGAGTCCAATCAGGGAGCCTGGGCCTTGGCCTCGGCTCTGCTTGAGGCTGCGGCGGTGGTGGAGGATCTCCTCCCTCCATGCGTCCGCGCCTTGCTGCAACTTGTGGCAGTCTACGGTGATCGTCAGAACTGCCAGCACCACTGTTGCCACCAGTAGCCCCG